TTTATTCATCTCGATTAAAATTAGGCACTCAAACCACATAACACCGGGAGACTCGGAGACCATGCAGAAGGATGCAATTGCGGACATCATAAAGAATTGTCCTTTAATGGGTTGCAGCATGTAGGCAAAATGGCCTTCCTTAAAAGAACAATACTAGCGTCGTGCGCTAGTGAACTCATTCTTATTGTAGTTAGAATAAACGGGAGGGGGTGAAAGTCGGTTTATAATGGACGCCGATGTATATATAAGAAAATTACATCCGAAAAACTGCGGCTCAGTTTCGAAAACCGGCGAGGTCAAGAGAAATTGTGCTTATAGTTCAATATATTTGAGGGTGAGAGGCATTGCCGATGCGACTGCTGTTGCCAACGGTGTCCAAATGGCGACCTGTGCCTGCATTCTTTAGGAAATTCGTGCGACATCTACCGCTCTCTCTATTCTCAGTCCGGGGTCATGACATAGTCCAGTAGAACGGGGGCGGAACTGGGCTCAGGTGGTTGGCGTGAGTCTGAGCCTAGACGTACCACAGTATCCTTCCATGTGCAGCAGTTGTATGTACGCATCCTGAATAACGCCAGCCGTGCTCCGTGTTGATCCGAGGCCTTAACCGCGTCGTCTGTTGTAGGGCCCGAGGAACACTACTATAACTATTAACAATTTTACTACTATTACCAGCATTCCTACTATTACCCGTACTAGTATTACTATTGCGAATACCAGCACTACCACTACTATTCATGACACTACTATTACTATGACTACGACTGCAGTTACCAATAGTACTACTTCTACTACTATTACCGATACTGCTAGTACTATTGCTATTGCTGAAAGGACCACCACGGTTGCTACTACTATTACCAATATTACTACTTATATTACCAATACTAATACTACTAATATCGATACCATTACTGCTGCTACTATTGCCTCTCCTACTTGTCCGCGTCCTTTTATTGTCTTTGTATCCTTCTAACTTCTAATTTCTGCCCCTTTCAGTCTCTGCGTCCGACTGCTGGACTGGTTCGATTACTATGGCCACATATGCCTCGCTTTTGACATCCTCGGACTTTCGGTGTTCGACTTTCTGGTTAGTTCTCTCGTATACATTCTTCATTCTAAACGTTAGCGATTAACATACATAATTGGGGTTCCAATTAGCTCGCAAAATGAACAATCAAAACAGGATGGGTGCATCCTGAAACAGATCGGTGTACAATAACCCATTACATTTTTTGCATTTTGCGGGCCAGATAAGATCCTGTCCATCCGCCGTGGCTCTAATGCCTATCCATATGCCTGAGTTCGAAGCAGAGACTTAAACGTTATTCCCCCCCTCCCCTACACCCAGTAACTCGGCTTCTGTTTAAATGGTAAGTGTAGCTGGACCCGGTGTAGTTACAGTATCTACTATACACTCTACTTGAAATATCATTTGGATACGAAGATTTCCCGTGTCATAGAGGCTGATACCGTTTTGGACTTGGGGAGAGTATGTGTGATAACAATCGATAAATTTTTCTGGCGCAATCAAGATACAATATCGATCTGCCCATGATCATCCTCTTATCACGATAACTAATTGAAAAACACTCTCAAAGGACTCGATCTTCACAACCCGTCAAACATGAATTT